CATTTGATTCAAGTCAGGTAGTATTTTCCAGCATGACCCTGGATGTAGGAGGACCCAGATGTGTCTGAAGTGTATCTTGAGTCTGTTTCCTGCAAAAGCCAGCTTCGTTTAAAGAAGCAGCTTTTGGAACTCTGTCGCTATTTAATTGGTTCTGACGCAGTTTTCTCTAAGCAGACATATTAATAGACAAACGCTTCTGGGATTCAACTGTTTGGCACTCTTATATGGGTCTAGATGAATAGACAGCTTTGTGGATAGAAAGAGAAACAGAAACATATGATTAAAAGACAATGAAGAATAAAAAGGGGAATATTTTTAAAAATCTAGCAATTTATCCTTTGATACTAATTTTCCATGTGTGTAATCAAGAAAACAGGACAAGAAAGTAGAAACATGTGATTCTTACTAGTGCATGGGATTATTTTTCCATTTTTTTTTCACCAATAAAATAGGTTACTGACATTCTGTGAATTTTCCTGGGTGAGAGCTTCCTGTTAAAGTATTTCCTCTCTGAAGCCAAGTAAATATATGCTGGAAAATTACCCTGTTTATTGCTGCTGATGATATCTGCCTAGTGAAAATGTTTTTTAATTGCCCTTGCCTTTTAGACAGGCGGTTCTTATCATATCACATTATCATGTAATCTTCCAGGGCCTATAATATGGCATATGGGTTTATTAGTGGGTAATGTCTGAAGTGACAGAGTTTTAACTATACATAGAGCTAGTTAAGATGCTCGCAGCCTTTAGGATCAGCATGGATGATCAGTTTGAGAGCTAATGATTCCTATTTTTGAAGTGCACACAGCTATCCTCAGCAATGTTCACACTTTGGTGCGGTCTTTTATACCTCTAAATCAAATTAAATGTTAAATTACATACAGTAATCACATACAGTGTAAATTTTATACAGCAACAGCTTTTAATAATAGATCTTTCTCTTTAAGGAAGTACTTTTGATCCAGTCCTACGAAACAAAAGAGTCTGCCTTAAAAAAAAAACCCAACTCTAAAAAAAAAAAAAGCTGTTTCATTTTATATTGGAAAAATACAATGTGACATCTGGAGAATAAATTGTTCAGTCAGCCAGAAATACGCCTTGTAAAAATTGCTTAGGTTTCTGTAACAAGATTATTTACTGCGACTGTTCACCTATAATACAGCACACTTCTGAAATGGACCTTTTATGAAACACATCAAGCACTGTGGAAATGTATTCAGTGCATTAATCTACAACACTACACACTTTACAACACTTTTAGAACAGATTTTGAAACTCAGGCCATCTAATGAGACAGAAAGTTTTTTCTTTATATTCATTCCAGTCACGTTTTATGCTAAGCCCTCAGGGTATTTAACATAACGCAATAGATTTTTTAGAAAATACAAACAAACAAAATGTATTACTTTTCAGATGACTGAAAAGCTCAAGACTGTTCTTTCCACATATTTCTGCTGCCTATACGTAAGGCAAATGCCATGTGCATCTTCTGCTCTAGAGCTTTATAAATATTTAAGCACCTCAAAATGTGTCAGTTTCTAATCATAGCTTTGTGTAATTAATGGCAACAAACTGATTATGATCAATGGTAAGGCCAATGTAGGGGCCTGACTCGGAGTGGGAGGAAGGGATTTGCTGTGGCTGTAGGTGTCTCCAGTGAAGTGACATCGAAAAATGGAAGCACTAAGAAGGAAGCATTTGTGCCTTATTTTAGGCAGTGGGTCTGGAAGGAGCGGCACGTTTGCTGTAACAAGGTGGTTTCTAACTCTGCAATCGTCAGTAGAGGCAGGATGAAAGCTGGTTCAGGAAATATCCAGATGTAACAAGGAAGAACTAAATTCTACTGGCGATACGTGCGAATAGCGAATGTCTAAATCCCAAGCGAGGTGACAAAGATGAAACTTTTATTTTTGCCTTTAAGATAGGTTACAAAGAAGCTGCAAGAGTGTAGGAGGGGTTTCTTTATAGGCAATTTGTAAATCACTGCATTCAAACAGTGCGAGAGATGCCAAGTTGGGTTTTTAATGCAACGGAATAAATGATGGTCACAAAAAAACGTATCCTTCTGTTTCTAAACCCAGAAGGCAGTCTGTAACTGCTGCATCGCCTGCGAGTATGAAGAGCAATCTCTTGACTGGTAATAACATTACATGAATCACGTGTTGGGAATGCTTGATTCAGACATTGGGTCTGCCATACTTTGGCAAGTCAGATTGTCCCAAAACAACATTTCTTCTCGAGAAATCCATTATAAAAATGAGAATCAAGATCATAAAATTCCTGAGCTGTCAATTGTCATTAAGGATGTAGGTCGTAAGAGAAACCAGCTGGAGCGTAAGAATGCAGTGCAAAAGCAAAAGGTATATAAAAATGCACTTATTTTTCAGTTTAGCTTTCCCTCTGTTCCAGCAACATGGTTTATAGGACGATCTCGGCACAGGTAAGCCATAGGTTTACCTCCAGGCTTTGGGGTATGCATTCAAGCCTGTCTGCATTTCCTGCCAGTTTAAGTTGCTCATTATGAATATCAGTCCAAAATGCTCATCAGTTTTACAGCATAGGATATTAACTTGGAGATTGCAACTGTGGATGGCAATTACTTCCAATACTTTATACCAAGATATTACATTTTCTTTGTTGCAAGCTGACGGTACCATATGGAGAAGGCTAAAATTCACTGACTGGAGGAAATGAACTATCAGTTCTTGAATTTTTAGGTTTTTTACTGACTCAGTGACTGCTCTGCGATAACATGCATATCATCTTGGTAGTATAATAGTAATTTAGCTTGATTGGGGATTGTGCAGTGTTTTCAACATATAAACTACTATATTAGTGGGTTTGCTTTTATTTATACTAAACCAAACCTTTATTAGGAAATAGAAGTAATTTATGGCAGCATGTGGTAATTGGGAGAAGATATTATCAGCCAGAAATTGTCACCTGTCTTCTTGCTTTCAAAGATATTTCTTAATGTTTCTTCTGTGTCTTGCCACTTAAAATTAAATCATTCCAAGATTGTGAAGTATTTTTCTTTAGAAGCCTTCTGATGTTGTCATTTTTGTCAGTCTTCAGATGTTCAATTTTTGCAGTGCTCCTGACTTCCTGCAGATTTTATTCTTTCTTCCCAGAATGATTCATGTCATTTTCTAGAAGCAGTGTCTACTGTATGTTTACTTCTTCTGTCACCAGAATACCCATGCCATTAGAAGTCATGCTGTTTCCTGTAATAACCTCTGGTATCTTTGTACTTAAAAATGTTATAATTTATCTCAGCTGCTGTTACAACATTCCTTTTATTTTCCACCTTTATTTTGCTTGATTGCTTTTACACTCCGCTCCGTTTTGCAGTATTGGCTCTTTCTCTGTCTTCTGTGTCTTATTTCTAGTTTTGATCATGTTTTTGTTTCCTTATACACAGTGACTTTGGGTTGATTGTTAGGCTGAGATATATACGGAGAACTTAAGCATGTGCTAACGTATACTGCATGTAATTATGAATGGAAATGAATGATACATCGCATGGTATATAATGCATATCCTAACAGACTAAAAGTAGCAAATAGAGAACTACACCAAAACTAGCTCCGGGAGAAAAGTGCCACCTTCTTCTTCATACAGAAATTCCATTAGTCCCCTTAACTTTCCAGCTAAGGTTTCCCTGAGGACTACTGTGTTTCTCAACTTCTATGCCTCAGCGGTTGGTGCAGTTGCTTGGGGGAGCCCTGGGAATTGTGTCAATAAACTAAGAAACGCATTGGGTCTAAGAGCTAAAAAGAATGTAAAAAGTTATTCTCTTGCTATTTAAATTTTGCCCGATTTGGAATTTGATCTTTCCATCAATAGCTGGAATTCCAGCTCCATTACAAACCCCCTCACAAGAGGTGCAATCTATTTTCACCAATCCAGATCTTTTTCTACTGCTTTTCAGACTCAAGTAAATCAGGTGTTTAAGGACCTGATCAGGAAACTAAACATGCAATATAATAACACTAGGCAGAGAGAATGCAGGGAATGAAGTAGGGCCCCAGATATTACTGATGTTTCACTGTGCCATTGAATTAAAACTGCACCAGCCCTGCTGAGTGTGTGTGTATATCACAATAAGAACTAGGAATCCAAAGACACTTAAGCTACCTTCTTGCGCTGCTGAAACTGGCAAGGCTTTTTATGAAAGAACCACTGAAAAAACCTGTTTCCCCTGTACACATTCTGCAGATGGAGTGCAGCAAAATGAATTTGCTTGTGGGTTTGTGGTTATAGTGTTAGAGAGCCTTTAAAACTTCCAGAGATTTTTTCTGTTCGGTTGTGATCCTGCAATGAACTGATAATATTATTATTTCTGTGTTCAGTAATCCTTGGTCAGCTACTTATGCTTACAAGATCATTAATTTTTTTTAAAACCAAATCCCACTATTAAAATAAAAATCCACAGTAAAAGGACATGAAATAAACAAGCTGCTTCTCTGTAAAACTTCATATAAAACACATACAGCAAGCTAGCACTATCATAGTGACTATATATTATAAAGTACACTGTAAATCAATCTCTACATAGCAAAATGAAAAGACTACAGAAATGGAAAAATTCAACTGTAATAGTTAAAATAGGAAAACATGTATGTTCTGGTGTTAACATTAGGATCCATGTGTAATAACCATTCCTCAAGCCTGCACAACTGTTATCCATAGAACTTGCAGAAAACCAGCCCCTTAGTTCTGGAGGAATTTGGTCTTTTGCTCCAGTAGCAGCATTTTGCTCCAGTGACCAGCCCCCTCGCCCTCTTGAGTAGATTTCTTAAATAATTATGGTTGTAGATGTCAAAGAAAGACGGAGGTTGTGCTAATCTCACGTTCCTGTGCTGTAACACCGCTATTTAATACAGCCCTTTGGCCCTTTTCTCTTTATAAAGTGTGAGTTCCCAATATACACGGTATTTGAAAGAGAAGAGGATACATTACAGTCAAATAACTACTTTTTGTGTTTTCTCTCTGTTACAGACTTCAGCTGGCACCTTTCCTTTGCTGCGTGGGTGGACACAGGACAGTCATGTCACCCTTGTAGTAAGATCTTCAGCCTTCCCTCAGCCACGTCCACCCTTCCCAACTCGTTACATGAATTGGTGAGTTGGGGTCTCGTGTTTCTGGGAAGGCAAGGGACAGAGTTGGGAACAGCAGAAAGGAGTCTCCTTACCTGACCCAAAAGGTTATTGTGGTCTGACTTCATGAACTGTGTAGCAGGTCCATGAAACATCTTATGGAGGCTCCCTACCAACTCAGAAGATATATTGGGGGAAATAATAATAGAAAAAGCACTAGACTTGGATTAATAAAAAAAAGAAGGCTCTGACTTGGAACAATGAAGCTATTCTGGCTAGACTAGTTCTGGTGGACGTGGGGTGGAAAGCTATATTAGCAGGAAATGCACCTGTCCTGTAAATGGGGAAGTACCCAGCTGATTCTTTTATTAGATAATGTAACTGGGGATATCATGCTTACACTGGTGAAAGAAGGAAAAAATGTATAACTTTTTTTAAAAAATAGCTTTCTCCAAGTAGTGGTGTCTCAGTTCACTTAGGCAGTAGTTCAGCTAGATCATTGTGGAAAGACAGGGCTTTCCATCAGATTCAAAAACTTAAAGGACTCGGAGAAAACCTATTGGCCAAAAAACTGTCAAATGCATGTATTTTTCTCTGCTAAAATTCCTATCTCATAAAAAATTGGCAGTAAACTCTCTTTTCAGGGTTTTGTTGTATAAAATGATCTTAAATGTGTTTTTCAAAATTATCTTTTTAACTAGCTATTCAAACAGATGCAAATACTCTGTTAGTGTGTGGAAAACCGTTTTGCTTAAATAGAAGAAAACTTCAGCTTTCTCATTACATCTTCACAGCTAGTAGGCAGCTAAAAGCCTGGTAAGGTTTTAGTACAAGTTGTACTTTTCCCTGATATAAATGTGACAATTTCTCTAGTCCTCACAGTTTGTACCATGAGTTTTGGCTGCGTAGGGCTTATCAGCCTGGTACATGTGAGTATTAGGTTACTTAGCTCTGATGAATCAAATATAATCCAATATATTAAAGAAAAACAGTCAACATCCAAGAATTAATACTGCAGCTTGTTTTACAGTCCTACAAAAGAATATCCAGTCAGGAATGTTGCATATGTCTACAGATGAAAACCAGATTAACTTTATAAATAGTATATTTCACATAGTAGTGAAACACATTAAATTGTTCCTGCCTTACAGCAGGGTATGCTGGTAGGAATAAAAGTTGGAATTGAAGCTCCCAGTCTCCTAATACTTCAAATTTTCAAAGTTTTTCAAAGTGTTTATAAAGATCTTAATCTTATTTGAGAATTTAGTGAGATTTGTCCTCCTTCAGTATAGCCTTTGCCCATATGTGTCTTACACATATTAAAGACTGATCTAAAATCACACAATTTTTCCTTCTACCCTACTTCCCCTCTCTGTGAGACAGTTGTAATGAATTTGCTTGTTCTGCTCTAGACATTATGGTACATATCATCTATAGAATAATTTGCAGCATTATATTGCAGTTTAAATAATGTTCCCTTGAAACAAAAAAATGCTTCTCTAATCATTTATTGATTGACTGGTACTGAAATACTATAGATCTCTGGCACAACGTAGATTAATATTTTATATCTGATGCCACATTGCAAAATATTAGCATTCAGATTAAAAACAAGTGCACTCTGCCAAGAAAAGCTACATTTAGGGCCAAAGCAATTGGATTTTGAAATACATTTATGCTTATTTTTTTGAAGCATTTCAATTTTGGGAAAATGAAATCGAGGGTAAGCTTTTTGCCTGATACTGTGTACGTCACAGGTTTACCCAAGGGGATAAAAAAAAAAGAGCCATGAAGTTAATTTAGCTTCAGTATTAGACAAAAATCTCTTGGCTCACATAGGCAATGCTAAAGGTTGAGAACAGCTGCAGATCTCTTACAATCAGGCTTTTTCTGCAAAATCAGATTTTTTTATTTCTATATCCACCATCTATTTATAAGTATTTCTATGGCTATGTAGCTTTCTCTTTATAAATGGGTTATTTTAGCAACCATTTGATCTCCATAGAATTCATTTGGTTTATTTCAAGGTCAGGATGAAATTTAAAGAGAAAAATATCTCAAGAGTGAGATTTTTCTTAGACGTTATTTCAAAAGGTGATCTTGCATGGGAAAATCTGAGTGGTTTGAAATACTATCTGTACATATTTCAAAATATTGAAAATACTTTTATTAAATAGTTTGGTTTTTTCTCTGAGTGAAAGGCTAACAATGCTAATTTCTCATGTGTTTTTTGGTTAAAAAGCCCAGAACTGACAAAAACCAACCCAGTACCTTCAGCATGCACTTTTGCAAACACTGCTGAGCAAAATCTACTTTTGTTTTATAGAATTAAAAGAATATTTTTAGAAGCAGAAAAATAAGTATAGAGAACAAAAAAAATTGCAAGCTGCTTAGCTTACCCTTGATTTAGTTTGTCTTTTAGTAGAAACGAACAAAATAGATATTGGCAGTGTAGAAAAAAAATAATTATATAGACATAATTGTTTTAGCTGAGTAGAAATTTGAAACATCTATTGAAAGGTGCTGCTATTAATATTTGAAAATGCTATCATGTATGGATTTTCCAGAAACTGAATTTTTGACTAACGAGTGTAATTTAAAACTGCACATGATATTTATTTATACATGCCACGCTATTTGAATTCTCAGTAGAAATTTTTGTAGTCATTAAGAAATGACTATTTCTCAGAATTTTCATCTGATGCATATATAATTTCTTGCATAAACTCAGGTTGGGTTTGCGTTCGACTATGAATCTCCTGTATACATTCAGGTCTCAAATACGTTTTAAGGAGATAAAACTTGTCTATGAAATTCATTACACCACCTTGATGTCACATTGCAGGAGGCAATTTGTCTTCTGAAATTTTCCAAGTGTTATTCGTGCTGAATACTGTTAGCTTCACACAAGCTGTAGCTACTGTGAAAATGAAACAGAGCAGCATGTTCTGATGTGCTGACCCTTATAGATTATTTTGTACTCTGCTATTCTTATTCTTGCCATCCCAAATGCATCTAATACTTTTTTTTTTTTTTTTTGGCCAATTTAGTTAGTTCAGGCAGAGGGTGCCAGTTTTGGGGTTGTGGTTTGCAGGGTACATCACTGATGGGTGCCAGGGGTTCACCTGCAGGATGTATCTATGTGGTAGCAGCACAGCATGAATGTTTCCCAGTATTCAATCCCAATGGACAAATACTACTAATACAGCAGTATTAATGGCTGTGACCTCCCTGATGTGGTTAGAGAAATGGTAAATGGCTTAATCTTTGTAAAACATCATAGGTGATCAGTTACTCGTGGATTTAGTGGAATGGTTGTAAGAACACACGCGTTCTTCATGACTTTAGTACATTTTCACCCTTTTTCATACTGAAGGTACCTTTTGGCACAGTGTGTTAGTGCCCAGAATGTGAATAACGCCAAGGCCTTTCTTTACCAATTTCTATTAGCATGCTGTTTATATTAATAAATTAGTGAATCAGAAATTATTTTCAGTGCCAACTGCAGTGGAGGCTTAAGCGTTCCAATTTTACCACGTCATTCAGGTGAAGATCTGTCACATAATGGCAGATACCCCAGTATTGCATGCTATAGCCTGTGTGATAGTAGGGCTCAATCTTGTCACCTGCTTGGCTTCCCTTACGTGTGGAGATGTCCTAGCATCTGCCTCTGCACAGCTGCCTGATTTGCTTCTCCTCATGTCACGATAATACGTTGTCGTTGCTCATGTATATAATTATCTTGCCTAGTATTTGAAGTTCTCTAGTGTAAACTATCAAGTAGAAATACTCATATTATTTTATGTTATCGGTGAGCTAGAAAAAGTTGTGAGTTCCTTGAAATTCTTGCTTCATTTTTGAGATGTGTTTTGGTGGTAATTTACAGCCACCAACAGGATGCTGAGCTCTCTCCCCCCGTGCACAGACACACACATGGATGTGCACACCTGTGTTTACATGTTACAGAGGGCACAATTTTGACCCAGTTTCTGAAAATCACATTTATATACAAGTTCCAGAGCACTGCTGTATTAAGAACCATGCTATAACACTGAGTGAATTAAAAATTAATGCGAATTTCAATTTATTTTAAGAGGGTGTTTAATTAGCGGATCTCACATTATTAGTTATCAAAACAGATGGAGTATAACATGAGTATTCATCACCACAGAATTATTGTATTTTACCTTCTCTTTGGCAGTTAATTAAAAATTTTGAGATAATAGGTCAATTTAGGGATAAAAGGTATTTCTGAAAGGATTTTTTTAGGAATGAAGTATAAACATTTTTTTTTTCCTGAGAATTTTCATAGACTATGTTTTGTTCCAAAGCGCCAATGTTTTTGTCCTCAGACACTCTACTTTGTAACCCCAGAATCTTCAATTGTCCAGGTTCAATCATTTGGGCAATTTGCAAACTTAACTGTGTTCCATTCAAAATCCACAGTGTCTTTGAGGGCCTGTCTGAGTTAGTGCTTTTATTCCAATATTATTGTATGTATTTTAATTAAATGGTCTTTCAAGTGACAGAGCTCAAGTCTGGAACCTAAAATTTGGCCAGAAATCCCACCCCCTGTATTATATATTGTAACCACGATGGAAAGCTGGCTCACAGTGTGAATCTTGGCTTTCAGCAACAGCTCAAGCTTCCCTTGTGCTGTAGTTACCAATTCTACCAGTTACCTGGTGATGGGTTTTAACAGGGTGAAGAAAAGGGAGTATGTGGACCAAAAAATGGAGTCCCAGCAGCTTTATGGCCGCAGAAGGTAGAGTTAACAAGTTCCCTGCAACACAAACAGTTACATGCATGTGTTCCCCAAATCATTAGGGGGGGTTAAGTGACTTGATGATAATTATTTCAACATTGTATGGATAAGTAATATTCTTCTTAAGCTGAGTGATCCTGTAACGATCTACAGTGTTCTGCGGCCAGAGAAGCAGACAAAAATAGTAGCAGTACAAATAAATTAAGAGCTTTCTTTTAGAAACTCACAATTTTACTTCATAATTCCACTTTTACAATAG